TGTTTTCGGGAGATGAAGTAAATAAAGCTCTTTGACACAATGAGTGTTTTTTGTTTTTCTCGGACTTCTATGTACAAAGATACAACAATGTTGTCATCCATCCCTCAAAATAACAGAGAGAAACCCTTTCAGATTTGACAAAACAGAAGCACAAATATTGGAGGAGCAGCAAACGAACACACCTGCAGTTCCCATATAGGTATAACAGACATTTCTGTAAATATATGTATATTAAATATACATATAAGAGCCATAGTATTACAAGCCAAGTTCTGAAAAAGTTGTGACATTTTCTAAAATGCAAATCAAATTTTATTTAATTTACAAAAGTACAAAGAAATATTTTATTGCATCAGAGAGACTCAGATAAACGTAGTTAACTTAGGTCTGTACAATATTTCAATGCTCTCTTCTGAATGATTGCAGAGCAGGTTTAATATCGTAATTTTGTTTCTGTCAGCTTTGCGTTTTTGACTGCTTGGCGCCACCAAATAATGTGCCGGTTAGTGTTTACCCCATCAGCTATTTTACTTTTTGTTACATGGTTTCCGCTAAATTTATTCTTCCATGGCAGGACGCAATGCCAAAATTGATCCCGCCACGTCTACGTTACAGCTTTTCATTCAAAACATTAAGTCGTGTGTTTTTTTTAATAGCGGGTGATAATTGCACCAAAACGTATTAAAAGGTAAGTGAATTATAACAGCGCAAACTTTTCTGTTACCATAGTAGAGCTGTGCGTTATTTGTTTAACCCTTTAAGGTTACGTGCTTCACTTCACCTCAGAACGCATTAATACCGCTCTGTAGGTCTATTGGAGACATTCATAAATATTCCTAGCAAATCTAACTTATGTTGGAGATTTACTTGTTACATAAACACACTAAATCGCACTTCAGCAGCGTTTACATAATTACATAAATGCGATCTCGACTTTTAATACTGCGCTCATGACATATGTTATTGAAATAACGCCACAGGTAGTTGGTAGATCTGTGTAAAAAAGACCTGCCGCCACAGCTGGAAAAAATCCTAGAGGAAACACCGTGTTAGCTTTGCATTTTTGACTGTTTGGCGCCATCTTGTGATTGAATAATGTACAGGTTGAAGTATACTCCATCAGCTGTTTTTTGTTTCTGTCAGCTTTGCGTTTTTGACCGTTTGGCGCCATCTTGTGACTGAATAATGTGCAGGTTAGTGTATACTCCATCAGCTGTTTTTTGTTTCTGTCAGCTTTGCGTTTTTGACCGTTTGGTGCCATCTTGTGACTGAATAATGCGTAGGTTAGTGTATACTCCATCAGCTGTTTTCGTTTCTGACAGCTTTGCGTTTGACTGTTTAACGCCATCTTGTGACTGAATAATGTGCAGGTTATTGTATACTCCATCAGCTGTTTTTTGTTTCTGTCAGCTTTGCGTTTTTGACCGTTTGGCACCATCTTGTGACTGAATAATGCATAGGTTAGTGTATACTCCATCAGCTGTTTTTGTTTGTTAGCTTTACGTTTGACTGTTTAACACCATCTTGTGATTGAATAATGTGCAGGTTAGTGTATACTATCAGCTGTTTTCGTTTCTATCAGCTTTGCTCTTTTTATTGTTTGGCGCCATCTTGTGACCGAATAATGCATAGGTTAGTGTATACTCCATCAGCTGTTTTTGTTTCTGTCAGCTCTGCGTTTTTGACCGTTTGGTGCCATCTTGTGACTGAATAATGCGTAGGTTAGTGTATACTCCATCAGCTGTTTTCGTTTCTGACAGCTTTGCGTTTGACTGTTTAACGCCATCTTGTGATTGAATAATGTGCAGGTTATTGTATACTCCATCAGCTGTTTTCGTTTCTATCGGCTTTGCGCTTTTTATTGTTTGGCACCATCTTGTGACCGAATAATGCTCAAGTTAGTGTATACTCCATCAGCAGTTTTCTTTTCTCTTTGCAATTTTGACTGATGGCGTCATTTTGTGATTGAATAATGCGCAGGTTAGTGTACACTCCATTAGCTGTTTTTCGATTTTGCCACTTTTGCTTTTAATTAAAGAATTAACAAACTATTATGGCTAAGAACGATGATTTGTGTCAGTTTTGTGGCAAGTAGCCATGTTAGGATAAAGTACATCCAGGGTGGTTGTTTTCACAGAATAATGGCCTTCAGTTATATACAGCAGTGCTTCGCTTCACTTCATTCTGCAACAACAACCGCCTGGATGTACTTCATCCCTCAAATAATATAACACAACATACCTTGCAATGACATGATTGCCCAATCAGATTTAAGTATTCCAGAGAGCCATTTAATAACATTAGTTAAATCATTTTGGCGAGTTAACAAGTAATGAATAACTTCAATTTCATTAACTAACATCAACAAAGATGAATAAAGACTGTAGTAACTGTATTGCTCATTGCTTGTTCATTGTAACTTATGACCGTATTGGAAAGTGCTACCTGTAATTCTACATTTAAAAAAAAATCTGCCTGATTAACAGTAATTAATACCAGCATTTACAAAATGTCCTAATTTTTTCAGAACTAGTGTTGTAAAGGTAACCTAAACCCCATTAAGTGCAAATGAAATCTCCCAGGCTTTGTGTAGACCTCATGCCATGTAAACGGATTATGGCTCTTTCAAAACAGAGTGAGAAACCACACACAATACACAAGCACTGGTTATCTTACAGCGACTGGATCAGAGACTCTGGTGTAGTGGACAGTTGGACGGCAGGATGGCTGTGGGTCAGAGGTGAGACGGGACGGTCTGTAGGGCATCCTCAGTGGTGCGGTGAACATTAACATTCTGAGGAAAGACAAAGAAAATTCAATTCATGTTTCTTTATATAGTGCTTTTAAAATGCAGAGCATAGCAAAGCAGCTTAACATAGATGTTTTAGTAAATTGAAACTGTCAATCAATTTTTTAAAGTTGAATAATCAACTATTATATGGGGATTAATGGGAATAAACGGTGAATTTGGTAGCCTATGTATTAAGTTGTTACTGAAATACTATCTTACTGCATAATTTTGGTTAAAACAACCAGATTTAATGCAATTTTCCAGCCTTCATATGAAGTGTTCAGTTTTCAAACTCATTTTCTTGTCCAATTTTATTTATGTATTGTTAAATGGTCGGTTTTGCTATTACTTTAAGAAACCAACACATTTTAAGGATTAAATTTATACACTTTATAAAAAGGATTTAATTTATATACTGTACTATAAAAAGAACTTATTTATATTAGAAATATGATTGTTTTTGCTGGCTTATTATATCTGAATATCTATGATTTTGTTTAGTATTTATTAAAACGTAAAATATTTAACATTTTAATATTCCATTTTGATTGAATTTATGTATAAATTCATACGTTTTATTGTAAATTTATATTTAAAAAATCTTTTTGTGAAAAGCTATTTGAAAAAATAATTAAGCAATAAAAACTTTAGAACAAAATTAAGTATCAAAAAAATTGAAAAAAAAAAAATAACAGTTTGTTTGTTTTTTTAATAAGGACATAAAAGGACCTCGAGTCAGGAATCAAACTCAGGTCACCGTGAGCACCTCAGTGCTACTGAACTTATTTTTTAATATCAGTTCAAATCTCAGTTTCTAAAGATCTTTAAACCTTGAACTTGTATCTGACAGCAATGACCATTTTCTCCTGGAATTTTAAGTTTTAACTTTTTGTTGAGAATTCTGAATTCACATTTCGGAATTTTGAATTTGCCTTTTGAAATTCTGAGTTTACATCTGGGAATTCTAATATTTGTTTTAGGAATTTAGCATTTAAATTTTGGAATTGTGACTCCTTTTGGAATTCTGAGTAAAATTTTTGGAATTCTGAGTTTAATTTTTCAATTCTGAGTAAAATTTTTGGAGTTCTAAGTTTAAATTTTCAATTCTGAGTAAAATTTTTGGAATTCTGAGTTTAATTTTTAAATTCTGAGTAAAATTTTTGGAATTTTGAGTTTAATCTTTTAGAATTCCGAGTTTAATTTTTGGATTTCTGAGTTTAATTTTTTTAAAGGATCAGCAAAGGACCTTGAGCTGGGAATCAAACTCAGGTCGCCGTGAGCACTTCATTGCTATTGATATAATTTCTAAATGTGGAGGTGTGTGCGTTTTTGCAATTGTTTTACAACTTCCGATTCAGTCACCTATGGGAGAAATAATTAGAAATAACAAACGGCTAAAAACAGTCAAACTACCTGCTCTACAGAACAAGTGTTTGCTTGACTATACAGACCAAGCAGAATAATATAATAAGAAAATATACATTTGCAACATTAAGCAGCGTAACGAGCAGTTTTTAAATCTAAAAATGAGAGCCAAAAAGATTCAAATAGTTGCTACGGCTCGCACGTGGAGAATAAGGTCAATATGTCGGCGGACTCGGCGCCGATTCGATTTGCCGATATCGGCAAATTATCGGCACCTATAATTTAAAACAATTTTTAAAAATTAAGAATATAGTATTTTTCAACTGAATCTCACGTCTAATTTGTAACTTTTTGATTTAGCGGTTAATCTCATTCGTACAATTTAGTTCGATTTGCTTATCATCCAATGACAGTTGGATTTAGGGGCGGGATTTGGTGCCACGCCTCCTTTTTAAAATTGTACATTTTCATACGACTGAACTCTTACGAATTAGCCACTAAACTGACAAAACATAAAATACTTACGTTTCCTCATGAGATCAGGCTGTATTTGTATTAACAAGCTGTTTAAGGATTATTACAAGATATCTGAATTTCATAACAGTGTTTAAAATAGATCAGCATGTAATCACAGGGCTCAAAGTTCATAAGACAAAAAAACATCAGATATGATCAGCTTAACATCTCCACCCTTCTGACTTCAGGTAAAAGTCCACATCACTGCCCTTTACCACTATATCTAACACCACATCTTATCAGACGTATTAATGTTACCTGATTTTATAGACCATTAAAACCCGAGCAAAATCTGGCAGTGTAGTGCAGAATGCAAAGAGAGACAGGATTTCACTATTCCAATAGTTTATTAGCATCGCAAACAGACATCACAGTAGAGATTTACTCTTCTCACTCACAAGAAGAGGGTTCACATTATCATAGCATGATTCCTTAGTGTTTCAAAAAGATAAATTACTACAATAAAAAAGTAAAATGATTTAAAAACGTCCTTCATCCGAAAGCACCATAAGGCTCTGATAGCAACAAAAATATCACTGCTCTTATATACATGATAGACATTCCTACATTATGAATACATAACTCCTCATCCTAATTTACCATAAATAAATATAATGTGCCTCTGGAGTGATCTTTCATAGCAGCAGATGAATTCATATGTATATATGTGTGCATTTAGAATAAAGTGCAATTTAATATTAAACACAAGAACACAAATCTGAATGACTCAAGTGCTTCATAATCTCTGAGGTGTCAAATGCATTTTAGGATTGGAATAAAATGGGAATGAGATAATGTTGTTGTGAGGAACGTTCAGTGATGATCTGGTACTGTTAACAAAGCCTCTTCCGCCAGCCGAGACACATCTACGTTCTGTTTGAAGCAAACACAGGGAATGACGGCACAAATTAATAAGATGAGGTGATGAGCGGGTGACGACGATGATGATGATGATGATGAAGTCCACAAATAACATTAACATCCAAATCAATGAGCGCAGAACTCAAAACAAAGACAGGACAAAATAAGGAAAGCAGAGAAAAAAAAAACCCTGGGATATTTAACAAATGGTCTTGCTGCTGTAGAAGCTGTAGGTAATTTCATGAGCGAGTCCAACACCTCATGGTTCTTTTGACGGTTGAGTCTCAGGAGACCACGAATCTTAATCACTTTATTAAGCTCTCAAGCATAACTATAGACTGACTCCACACTTTCCCCCTTAAGCCATAGCAGACAGGGGAGGCTTTTAGTGGAAGCTCCTTTCTGACACTCAATGCAAATAGAAAAATGGTGCATGTGACTTTATGGTTCACCATTCAGACTTTTTCCACCATTGTGAGTTTATGTTTTGCAACTGACTTTATTCTTCTAGTCATTGTTTTGCCTATATTTAGCAATTCTCATGGTTTTTTATTCTTTTGTCATGGAATTTTGAGTTTATATCTCGTAGTTCCAACGTTTTATGAGAAATTTCAGTTTACATTTTGCACTGAGTTTACATCTGGTAATTCTGAAATTTATTTGAGGAATTCTGGTTTTAAATTTTGGAAATCTGACTTTTTTCTTTTGGTATTCTAAATTTTATTTATTTTTTTAGAATTCTGAGTTTACATCTATGACCTCTGACTTTTCTCTCCTGGATTTCTGAGTTAACATTTATGAATTCTGACTTTTCTCACCTGGAATTCTGAGTTTAAATTTTAAAATTCTGGCTTTTCCTTTTGGAATTCTGAGTTTACATTTAGAAATTCTGACTTTTTTGAAAGGAGATTTTGCATTTAAAATTGTGTAATTTTTAGTTTACAATTAGAAAATTCTGACTTTTACTTTAAATTCTGAGTTTACATCTGGGAATTCTGACTTTTTGTAAAAAGAGAATTTGCATTTAAATTTTTAAAATCTAATTTTTCCCTTTTGGAATACTGAGTTTACAGTTTGGAATTCTGAATTTTCCTTTGATATTCTGCATTTACATCGTGGAATTCTGACTTTTCCTTTTAGAATTCTGAGTTTACATCTGGGAATTCTGACTTTTTTAAAGGAAATTTTGCATAAAATATTTGGAAATATAATTTTTTCCTTTTGGAATTGTAAGTTTACAATTCGTAATTCTGACTTTTCCTCTGAAATTTCTAGTTTACATCTGGGAATTCTGACTTTTCTTTCCTGGAATTATGAGTTTACATCTTGAAATTCTGACTTCTTAAAAAGGAGATTTTGCATTTAAATTTTGGAAATCTAATGTTTCCCTTTTGGAATTCTGAATTTACATTTTGGAATTCTGACTATTTCAAGAAATTGTGAGTTTACATTTAAATATTTTTTGGCTTTTTCCCAGAAGGTTTCAGAGTTTACATTTAGACATTTTGATTATTTTATTATTCTGATTTTACATTTCAGAATTCTAAATTTTCTCTCCCAAAAAGTTTTTACCTTGAAATTCTATTCTATTCTATTCTATTCTATTCTATTCTATTCTATTCTATTCTATTCTATTCTATTCTATTCTATTCTATTCTATTCTTGATTTGTTTCTCCCAGAATTCTGTTTAAATCTCAATTCTGACCTTTTACTTACTTTATTATAACTTATTGACCAACCTTATTGACTTTTTTACATTTCAACCTTTCAACTTGTAATTACAATACTATTTTCACCCAGGAGTTCTGTTTACATATGAGAATTCAGATTTATATCTTAAAAGTCTGACTTTTTATACAGAATAAAGTATAAATTGGACAACATTAACTGATTATTGCACATAAAAATCTGTCAAATTTAATTCAAGATCTTTAAAATGTTAACTTTTGATTGTAAGAAAACAGTAAGAATCGAGAAACAAAAAGTTGCAAATATTTTTTTTTGCAGAAATAAGCTTCCATATATTTTGACCCAGCATACTGCCACACATCCTCAGTGCCTTAATATATCTAAGTCTTACCGTCGGTCTGTCTCTGTGTGTGTTCACAGCTTCCACTTTCAAATCAATCGACTCCACCTTGCAACCTAAAGACCGAGAACATTTCACAATCAAGAGCTGAACCACATTTTATGAATACATCATATTCAGGTTGGCTGAAAAGTGTCCATCTCTTACCATAGGCCACTGGTGTTAACTTCAATACTGTGTGTAGAGGGCATTTCAGATAAGGCAATTCCTCTTCAATAAACAAAAAAAAAATTAAAAACACACCAAACAACAAGACATTAGTTTACTTACAACTCATACCCATCAATACAAGTCAAACGTGATTTAAAAGTCTTCACCTGCTGTTTTGTCCAGAAAGTAGGCCAGCAAGCATCTCATGACGGCTTGATGACAGATGACCAGAACGTTTTCCTGCCTTTCTAACTCCATGATCACGGGTTCCAGCCTCTGGACCAAGTCTTCATAGGACTGTGAGGAAAGAGCTGGATTACAACACTCTTCTATTGCAATATTATTGATGCATTTTAATGTGATAGGCTGTAATGTCAATGAAGCAATGCTCAAAATAAATATTGTCTACATGCAAGGTTCTGGAGCAATTATGGATTTTAAAACAACTTTAAAAATGCACTTTTGGACTTACAAATAATAAGTCACTGGCAGTGTTATTTAACAAACATCCATAGAAGTGAGCCTCTGATAATAATTACTTATTTTTTGTATTTAAAAACATAATAATATATATTTTTAAAAACAATACTTGACTTCTGCCTTGCTTATAACTATTGTTAAGTTTTTTTTAATAAATTGAATGGAGATTTCTGTCTGATTTGTGACACTTTCAAATGATTTTTGTAAAGATTTAATTAAGCAATTAAACTTAAATAATATATATAAATATAAATAATATGAATATATAATATAATATAAATAAATACAAAAATAAACATTAAAAAAATTTATGAAAATTATTTTAGAAAATGTAATTTAAACAATCTTTTTATTGAAATATTAAACTATATTAAAATGAAATCAATCATGATATAAACTTTCATGAAATGAAACAATCTAATATTCATAAAAATCAATATGATACTTTCAAAACTAAAAAGTTTGATCGTTTTATTGATTTTTAATAATAAATCAATCAAACTTAATATATAAATATAAAAACTTGAATATATAATATAATAAAAAATATATAATATAAATAAATACAACTATAAATAATAATTTAAATAAAAAAATCTCCTTTTTATTCAAATATTAAATTACATCAATCAGAATATAAGCTTTCATGCAATTTCATGATCTTATATTCCTACATTCAATAAAACAAAAACAAAATATTCAGCTTTCAGCCAAGTTTATTCTGAATGTTTAGTTTTAGACTTGAATTTGTGTATATATCCCTTACAAATGACACATCACACACATACATAATACACAAAGCTCACTTTAAAACCAGCAGCTGACATGAAATATCATAACTCAACTATCATCCTAAAACATAAATGTCCTGATAATTCAGTCATAGAGTTCAAATCACACATTCACAGAAACATCTCTCATATTGACAATCAACAGAAATATTCTGAATTGAAATGATACTGAATTAAATCTGAAATGGAGTCATGATTTACAAACCCATATGCTCAGCAGTGAAATAAACGATGAAAAATAGTAAACGCAGGTGATATGACATCAGCTTTTATCTAATAAAGTGAGAACAGTGTGTTGCTTTAATGCTCTCTGAGTAAACAGCTTTGAGATATTGATCTTAATGAGAACTGCTGGCTCTGATGAGCAAGCACACTCTGACGGATGAGAAGTGTGTGTAGGGGCTCAGGGTAATGGTGTGTGATGTGCTCAGTCAGAGTAATAAAAGCTTACAAAAACACAAAACAAGGTCAATTATGCACTCTGGGAACATCATCAACGCAGACTAAAAAACAAGAGCTGTTTACTTCATTTCAGAGTATTTGGTCATGGGTAAGAGAGAGCCTGGCAACCAGAAACATTTAGGAGATGGATTTTTAATGTGCTGAAGCTTGAGGGATAGCTCTTTGTCAACTAAAGAGACATAAAAGAGCAATGCAATCACTAAATGATAACAAATGAAAGCTGAAACACATCTCGCTATGTTTTATACGCTCATGATAGTGAATCATTAATCCAACCTTGGGTGTTTCAACTGTACATGCGCCTGTGTTTGTAGTAAGAACAAAAAAAGATGCTGAAAATCAATCTGATTTTCAAACAAAATAAATGAAAACTTTTGTTATTCGTTCCAACTGCCAAAAAAAACCCTCAATGAAAATATTTGTATTTGATTTTAGGAAAACAGATATTTAAAGGAAAAAATATTAAGTTCTTCAGTTGCTTAAATCACTTCTATTGTTAGCATTTGTAAGTCACTTTTAGTTAAAGGCATCAGCCAAATGATTAAATGTAAAGGTGATAAAAGAAAATAGAAGTATTAATGCTAAGGTAGGTGACCCTTCGCTCTTTAGTTACTGTTGCTACGCCTGTCAAGCTCTCGTGCCTGGCAGGGCTTTTACAATGTGTATGCACCGGTGTCAGACACTGCCAGGGATATAATGTCATTTTTGGCGAACAGGGGAGATATCCGAGAAAGCCAGACAAAAAAAAAAGACTGCGGTATGCATTACAGGAGTACATTCACGACATAATAGGCAACCGATTAGAGAATAATTCAATCGAAATTGAAGCTAGCTTAGCCTAGCCGCCTCAAACGCTGACCATTCAACAGCTTAGCTCATGCTCAGCAGGAGAGGGGAAACTTACAAATAATCTTATAATAACAAATTAAACTGATTTCTCCATTTTAGCCAAAAAGTCTGTTAGACTAATTGTAGTGCAATAAAATGTAGCATTACAAACCGACGAGGAAACACGCATGACAGTGCTTTTACATAATTCATTCCTAGGTAGAGCAGCCAAAAAGAAAAAATTGATGGATTTGTGCTGAATTGTAGCATCATTGACACATACCAATGTACAGTAAGTTACCCATTACTGTTAGTATGTTTGTGTGCCACTGGTTTGCTTGGATCGGGACTTGTGGAGCTGCGCTTTGGTGGATTTGCTCTTCAGTGTTTGGACTTTCAGCAGTGAAAATGAAACTAAACTAAACTAAACTGAACTTCAACTGTGAGATCTGGACTTTACTGAACCAATCTACATTGTGAAAAGCGCTATATAATTGAATTAAATTTATCCAAAAAGTGCCCTTGTGTGTTTTTACTGGGTGAATCTGTGTAAACTGTAGTATGCAGTTGTGCTGTAGTCAGGATTTTGGTTAAATGTTTCATTAAATTAAATTAAAAGACTATCATCAGGGATAATAAAGGAACATATAGTTAGATGGGACATCCTGTGATACATTGATGTGTATGTTTTTTATTTAAATTTCGTGCTGGTCGCTATTCATGATGTAGATGAGCTCAAGCAGGACGTTTATGAAGTCTCCTTTTGTGTTCAGAAAAAGAAAGAATGGCATTGAAACAACACCACGGTCATAACAGAATTTTTAATTTTGAGTGAACTATCCCTTCACACCTTATGATTTAAATGAAAGGCACATTCAAAATATTAAAAAACACGATTTCAAGTAAACTGACCTCTCCTTTGGGATAGCGGTATCGATATTTATCCTGGTCCCGTAATGCAAACTCAAGCGGATATCGCTGCTGGATCTCCTCATACATGAGCTCCTCACAGACACCCTGAACACACATTGAAATCAGTCAATTAATGCACTCACTCAATCACTCGCTCACTTTCCTTTGTCTTTGATCTATCAGGGGTCGCCACATCAGAATGAACCACCAATTCCTCTGGCATATGTTTTACAATATAATAAGTCTGAGATATCTGATTAATGACCAAAGGAAAAAGACTCACGGCATCGATCTCATTGAGAGCTTTCCACTGTTCGTACGGTACGCCCACAGCTTCTGCCGTCTGTATGGTCCTCTTCATCTGACTCGTCCACACTTTCAATTCGTGAATATTCTGCGACTGGATAAACTGACCCAAAGTCTCAGCATACTATGAGGGAATGTCAAAAAGAAATTATTCAATTGATGATCAATTGTTGACACAACATTTTTTAAAACACTTCAAAAACAATTTAAATTATTTCGCATTAATTTATTAAACATAAATAAAATTCTGTCACTAGTTTTTGAAAACAATACAAAAGTTGAGCATTGTAATATTTAGGATGGTACCGACATTAATAAGCATTTAACTATTTTTCATGCATTTTGTTTTACAAATAAATATCGTGTAATGTTCTTTTAACAAGCAACATGCTTTTTTCTTTTATGCATAGCTGATTTTTAGCATCAATACTCTAGTCTTTATTATCAACTGATCCTTCAGAAAATAGTTTAATAAGCTGATTTGCTGCTCAAAAACATTTATTTTAATGAGCAATGTTGAAAACAGCTGTGATGATTTGTATTTTTGAATCACAGTGATGAATACAAGCATCAAAAGAAACTGATTTGAAATGGCAATCTTTTTCTAAACTTTGTAAGCGTCTCAGATCTGAACACATTTAATGCACAACAAAATATTTCTTAAAAAAACCTCCATGTGTCCATGTGAAATCAAAAGTTTTACATTTTTTATAGTTGGCGCACACTGCTATTTTTTATTATCAATAATTCAACTGTGCAAGTAAATCCACTTAAAAAAACTTTTGTTTTGGTAATCTGTTTATGGTTCTTAAGGTAAATGCATACCTTGGCAATAAGGGTCAAACAACTAAAAATAAGGTCAAGAATCTTGGTGTGACTCTGGAGTCAGATCTGAGTTTTAATAGTTCTGTCAAAGCAGTTAGTAAATCAGCATACTATCATCTCAGAAACATTGCAAGAATTAGATGCTTTGTTTCCAGTGAAGACTTAGAGAAACTTGTTCATGCTATTGTCAGCAGCAGGGTGGATTACTGTAACGGTCTCCTCACAGGCCTTCCCAAAAAGACAGTCAGACAATTGCAGCTCATCCAGAACGCTGCGGCCAGGAAACTGACCAGAACCAGGAAATCAGAGCATATCACACCTGAACTCAGGTCTTTACACTGGCTCCCAGTTACATTCAGAATAGATTTTAAAGTATTGTTACTGGACTATAAATCACTAAATGGCCTAGGACCTCAATACAATACAATACCCTCGCTGCTGGAATCAGCTTCCAGAAATGATCAGATATGCTCCAACATTAGGCACATTCAAATCGAGACTGAAAACACATCTGTTTAGCTGTGCCTTTACTGAATGAGCACTGTGCTACATCTGACAGATCGCACTATTGTGTTTTTCTTTTCTTTTTCATACTTTTATAAAATACAAATGTTTTAACACATTTTTATCTGTTTCTATCAACCTTTTTATTATGTTTTTTTTATTTTTCTCATACTTGTCTCTTTTAATCCTGTTTACGTAAAGCACTTTGAACTGCCACTGTGTATGAAAAGTGCAATATAAATAAAAATAAATAAACTTGCCTAATCTTCAATCAAAATCTGATGATATGATTTTTGCATTTGGAGTGGCGGAACTTCTCTGTTGACTTAAGTTTGACGTTTCAGCAATTAAATTGTTCAACACACCCGTATTTACATTAGTTTCTAACGAAAGAATGATGTGCAAAAAGAAAGCCCCGCCCCCTACTCAATATTCAGTTTTACCTGGAAATACAACAGACTAAAATAAAAGCATCAGCAACTGAATGTTTACACTGACTTCAAAAACTGTCCTGATGTCATCACTATAGACTATTTCAAGACATCAAACCTCCTGGCATTTTTGTGAATAAATGCTAGGCTAAAAAAGATGACTTAACATAAACAAGCCTAAACAGCTTACCTTCTTTCCCCTTGCTGAAAGCCCTGAATCTCCTCCGATTCGGCCTTTAATGTTCAGATCACTCTCTCCATGCCGGCACAAGTAGATGGACCGCGGCGTGATGTGGATATTCATGAGGTAGTAAACTATTCTGCTCTGTATGTGGTCCTGAACCCGGTTCACTAGGTACCTTCGGCCCACATCAATGATCTTTATGAAGGAAAGATCCCTAAACACACACAAACAGAAAAAAGATTACATTTATTCATAAAATTCAAGATTCAGCTCAACAGCACTTTAAATGATATATACCGGTCCAGTTCCTCATCCAGGGGTTGGTAGGAGTTCTCATAACACTTTATCCTCTTCATAAAGTCAGCGACGGCCTCTTCTGTGTTACAGTGTGTGTAGTCTGGACTGCCCAGCTTCACTTGCTGCACACAAAAAGCACAAATTTATACAAAATACAGTGAGATAAAGATATTAAAGACGTCTCTGTGACTTACCACAATGTTTTCAGCGATAACGTCAGGGTCTTCACACACAGACTCTACAAAGAACACCTTAAAGATGAGAGGAAAACAGCGTTATAAAAGAGCTGAAATGAGAAACACATGAAAATACAAGCTTTAGATGAAAAATCTCATAGTAAGCACCTTGAAACCGTTCTGCTCTGCAAATCTGATGATTGTGTCTCTTCTTTCTCTTGTCGTGTTTGTGGCATCAAAAACCTGAGGATTGAGTAATAAAAAACAAGATAAATGCGTAAAATAAAATGTTTAAATCGCAACTACTGTATTTTCTGGAATATGAAAGTTGCTGTTTTATCATCTGAAACATAATGCAATATTTCAAAATGACTTCCTAATATTAAGCGAGCAAAACATACAGTGTGTTTTCTTATTTTGACAAGCATTTTTTGTCTTTTCAGAAGCTCAAGTATTCATTTATGTTGCTTGTTTGTGTTTTTTGACTGCTACTACAGCAGGGGAGTTCTCTAAATCTACCTGAGCTCAAACTCCCTTCTCACCTTGCAAACCCTGGGCTCGAGGATCTTATGAGCTCAGGGCTCTCTCCTGGGACAGCATGCCAAACAAGCTTTATAATAACCATCAGCTAAGTGTGAACTCTTGAAAAAAGCTTAAATGTAAACAAAGAGAGATGGAAACACATTTCCAGAATAAATTATAAAGGGAACATTACACTAACTTGACCAATCAGCTGTCTCCGTTTTGCTTGCCTTGTTTACTTTTAGTTACTAGGTAGCCAGTCAGTCAGTCGCTCTAACAACTTGTTGGAAACCTAATTCACATGTTGGGGTTTTTCCTTTCTTTTTTGCAAACTTTAAAAAGATTTACTCACAATTGATTCAGTTATAAATGTAATCCAGCTAATGTACTGGACGTTTTGAATTTGAACACAGTATTTGTGCAACTACTGTATGACATCCTCTATTTGTTGTGAATGGCATTGTTTATAAAAATGGCGCTTTTCTTACCGCCACCTGTCCACCTTCATCTGTGAGGAACTGCCGGACATCATTGAGAGCTGCCAGTGCACACTGCCTAAAATAAGACAAGCAATCACAAAACATTTTCAGAGCATTTCTATATTAATTGACCTTTACTTACAGCTGTATGGTACACAAAGCTTATGAAATTTAATATATTAAACAATTAAACATAAGAACCCTAAAAAGTAAATATAGAGGACTTATTGATATTCTGACAGTATATTATGAAGTTGTCATAATAAAAAAAACAGCCTAAATATAGCATATACAAATTAAAATATAATTTATATCCCATAGTACACATTTTTAGCTTTTCAATAGCTAATCCAGTTTTTAGGTTTTCAGGTTTTCTACTTTTTCCTCCCGATTATGCACAGGCGAAAACATGAGGACAACAGATCTGACACATTAAGAGTCTCATTTTATTATTTTTTTACATATTAAAGGGATAGTTCACTCAGAAATAAAAAGTCTGTCATTATTTGCTCACCCTCCACATGTTTGACTTTCCTTCCTTTGTAAAACACAAATGAAAATATTTAGAATAATGTTGAAAACCAGTAACCATTGACTTCCATAGTATTTTTTAAATGTGGAAGTCAATTTCCAACATTCTTCAAAATATCTTCCTTTGTGTTCAACAGAAGAAAGAAAGAAATTCACAAAGCTTTTAAAATCACCCGAGTATGAGAAAATGATAACAGAACATTTATTTTTGAGTGAACTATCCCTTCAAGTCAGGTCTTAATGGAACAATATAATATATTATATATTCTATCAATTACTCCATAATAAAATTTACTTCATTAGATTCCTAAGACAATAACCAAAGACTTATTGTTAGCTTCTACATTATATCTTATCATATAACATATTTGTTTATATATATATATATATATATATATATATATATATATATATATATATATATATATATATATATATTAATGCAATGTCAGTAGCGAAGGCTAGTTTCATGGCAAAAACTATTTAATAAAAACAATTACATTCAAAATCAACCAACAAATAAACACAGGATAAATTTGCTAAGACTTTTAATGTTATACATGATAAAACAAATGAACTTTTCCTGATAACACATTGCTGAATATCTCTTAAAGTGAGTTATTTCAATTTCAAGAGAATTTGAGAATTTTTTGAGAATTTCAAGCTGTAACCATTTTCTGTTGTTTTTAAATTTACAGGCAATCAAATGTATTAATCACATTTTTATCAGATTTTTCTTTTAACTCAGAGGTTGTGAGGCCTAGAAAGGGTTTCTGCAGGTTTTATCAAGTCAAATTTAAGACCTTTTTAAGGACTTAAACAGGGCTAAATGCTAAGGATTCTTTCTAATGCCCTGATTGGACCAGCAGATTTAAAGTCTTTTACCTGCCCTATCAAAAAAAGGCATTTCTTAAGGCTGATTTAGCTGGCAGTAGGTTTTTATATGTTCTCCATGTCGTGTTTCTTCCCAGTTGTTTTGTTTTTTCTGAAAGCTACCTTACTACACAAGTGGTTAAACTCGCTAATTCAGAGGCGGTAACCAGCGGACGTGCAACAACTTTAATCAGGTAAACACAAAACAAAAGGTTCCATCTGGAGTCCTTCATGGGACTCCAAACTTGTAAACACTCACTCCATCGGATCAGAGCGTCGCTGTGATGTGTAGTTAATTTTTTTGAGAGGTGCACATCAGCATGAGTCAAATAATGTGTCAAATCAAGCCCTTTATCTTCAATCTAGATTTTCTTTAAAAGAGGTTTTAAAAATGATAATAAACTAAATATAATTAATTTTACATGGACATGGGAAAAATAAGACCCATTTAAAATTATTTAAGACATATAAGACTACAAGACTTTTTAGGTCTAAAATTTTAGAATTGAAATGTAATACTTTTTAAGACACCCTGATAAACATAATGTTGAGAAAGTAAACTCAATGGGGATTATGTTCTCAAAGAATTTATGAACATTTGCAGAATAACAGTAGCTTGTTTATATTGACAAAAATCTTAGTCTTACTTCCTGATTTTGAGCCCCTCTTCATTGTCTGGTCGAAAAAACTCAAAGGATTTGTAGATCTTAACACATTCTCGTCTGTATTGGCCAACGTTAAACTCTGCGGAAGTGAAAAGGAAACCAACTTGAGGAAGAGCAAAACCACATGTGGATTAACACAATCTTGGCCTGGCATTTCACAAATCTGCTCTTTGTAAACTCAATCCAAACCTTTCGTAGGAACATCAATCCAGTTGAGGTAGCGTGTCAGTTTTTTGGAGATGTAGGTCTTTCCTCTGGCGGGCAGACCGACGGTTACTATAAGCGTAGGGCAGTTTGTCATGCATACTGGAAGAAACAAAAACAGCGTCTCATAAAACACTTGAAAAACACGTTTAGCTCCTGCTTTGCATATAAGCCGAGCTGTCGATCATCACACACCTTATTGCATAAAGAACAGGAATGATTTGATCTTTGTGCAGTTCTGGTGGCATTTTTATTGCTTTAATCAAATCTGTGAGTTGTCATTGTAGAGCAGAAGTCGCTTTGATATTGCCACATCAAAGAGCATAATATCATATCTATGTCTATACAGTTGTGTAATAAAAACATGGGTGAACATGTTATATTGCTATTGGTTTGTACATTTTAAAATTATGTACCGGATTTCAAAAAACAATCACAAATATTTCCATTTGAGACATAAATGATAAGGTAGAGGTACAATCACTGGCCACTTTATAAGGTACACCTTACTAGTACCAGGGTTGGACCACATTTTGGCTTCAGTACTGCCTTAATCCTTTGTGGCAGAGATTCAACAAGGTACAGGAAATATTCCTCTGAGATTTTGGTCCATATTGACCTGATAGCATCACGTAGTTGCAGCAGATTTGTCGGCTGCACATTCATGAGGTTGACACCGAGTTCTGACCCTACTATTCGAATGTTGCAGCATAAATCAGACCAGGCAACGTTTTCCCAATCTTCTATTGTCTAATTTTGGTGAGGCTGTGCCAACTGTAGCCTCTGTTTCCTGTTCTTAGCTGACAGGAATGGCACTCACACCGTCTTCTGCTGCTGTAGCCCATCCGCCTCAAGGTTGGACATTTCGTGCATTTAGAAAAGCTCTTCTGCATACCTCGGTTGTAATGAGTGGTTAATTGAGTTATTGTTGCCTTTACATCAGCTGGAACCAGTCTGGAAATTCTCCTGACCTCTGGCATCAACTAGGCATTTGTGGCCAAAGAACTGCCGCTCACTGGATACTTTCTCTTTTTCGGACCATTCCCAGTAAACACTAGAGATGATTGTGCGTGAAAATCCCAGTAGATCAGCAGTTTCTGAAATTCTCAGACCAGCCCGTCTGGCACCAACAACCTTGCCATGTTCAAAGTCACTTAAATCCTCTTTCTTTCCCCTTCTGATGCTTGGTTTGAACTGTAGCAGATCATCTCGACCATGTCTACATGCCTAAATACATTGAGTTGCTGCCATGTGATTGGCTGATTAGATATTTGCGTCAATAAGCAGTTAGATAGGTGTACCTAATAAATTGGCCGGTGAGTGTATATAGTTTAAGCTTCTTGCAAAACAATCACAAATGTTTTTCATTTACTTAAATGCCTATAGGTTTATAGTAGATAAAACAATGTTTTCAATTGTATCTTTTTCTTGATTGTATTTATAGATTTATAGAAAATATTTACAACACATGCAAATACAAAAACGCACTACAACAACGATAATGTGTCAGGGGACACCCAAAAAGTTTGTACATGTTTATTCTATGATTCTATGGAGATGCATTCCCACTGCAGTCACCCCAATCAATTTAACCTTGTAAATTCTTTCAAATAGAGATATTAAGTCATCTGGTGAAATTGTATTTATATCGCAATATATATCGCAAAATAAATTAAAAATCCCAATGCTAGATTTTTACAATATCGTGCAGCCTTAGTTTATAAAATATTTAATGTTTTCAGGCCTTATTGAAAAAAAATATATGCAAAAATCTATGTGTGAGTTATACATATTTTACAAACTTTAAGGTCTGAGATATTTTCATTTTCTAAAAAAAATAAAAAATTCTCTAAATTATAATATTCTTACTTGAAGACACATTATCGGTAGTCATAAATTAAAATAAAAAAAATCTAATTTTAATAAAAAATGTGTATTTGTCAATGGAAAACCATAAGAAATGGTTATAACCTATAACACACACACACACACACACACACACACACACACACACACACACACACACACACACAGTAGTAATTTATTTAATAATATGTAACAAATGTGCTATTACTAAAGCAATACAGCATTATTACACAATACTGTAATAATGTACTATTTAATTTACAACTATTTACGATTTATTATCTCTTATTTAGTTCATTTGTTTACATATCTAAGATTACAAGCTAGCCAAGTACTGTGCAACAATTTAAATTGTAACAAATGAACGTTATACATCACATATATAATACAATAATACAGTAAAACACAACTCGTAATCTTCTTAAATCTTATGTAATGCTATTAAAAATAATTATTTAAAAAAGTAAACGTACTCAAACAAAATCCTCTCGATTTCTTCATGTTCAGCTCTAAATATAGGGTTAAATAGTCTGTCATATTATGAGTATTGCATCAGAAAAACCCCTTTAACCCAAATCTGCCTCCAGCATCTCATCCTTTCATTCATGCTTACCCTTTTTCTGACTAATGTGCCTGTCAGGAAGGCCGTTTCTGGAGGATGGCACCCATATTTTCTTTAAAGGATTCTGGGTGAGCTCTCGGGTCAGACTATTGCCGCATTGCTCCGTGTTGTTCTCTATTAAACTCATTATATTCCGTCGTCTCTACACTCGAGCGTCCATAACCATCAGTGCGCACTAAAGACAGCGTTGAAGAACGGCATGAGACTGGTAGGGAAAAGGTCTACCGTAATGACAGGAGCGGATGCGCGCTTACACATATTTACCGTAAACATTGGTGTGTTTTCAACAGTAGGATACATTAAAAAAAGATTTCTTTAGATACATGGTTTGGCCGCTTGGTTTATATTAAAAGCCTGAAATGTAGCATTATTAAAACTGATCTTTGTACCATTTTTAGATTAGTTGTTACTAAAGTTTATATGTGTTATTGTTCTGTTCACCAGACGTAATGGTGAAGAACGCTGTGTAGTCATCTGACATCTGTTGCGTTTCTCAGCGCTGCTGTAAACGGACTAATCACAACCGGTTGTGGTTGGCTGCTTGCCTAGCGTCTGTGAGGAGTAAGGTTTACCTGCACAGCACTTACTAGCTGGCCTCCTTTACACATGCACAACTCAAAAATAAAGAAATATAAGTCTATGAATTAAAAAAGCAAAATTTATATTTTTTTTCCTTTATGCTATCACCATTTATGAATGTTTTTTTTAAATTTACCTGCACGAGGTTCCCATAGAAATGCAAGTTGTTTGCCCTTTATTGGAGAGTGGTCTGGATGCAGACCTGGTGCAGTGCAATCTGGGCTGCATCCAATGCTTGGTAATGGGCTCACCTAACTCCACCCCTCACAGTGTGGTCACTCGCTTCATTTGAGTGCATTGTGTCTGACATTGCATCGTTGAATGATTCCATCACAGCTTGCATCATAAAGGCTGCATCCAGATACTATTGCTTTATTGGGGTCGCGATTCAAGTTTATCCACAGTGCAGCACACTCTGATTATTTGAGTTCTCATTCATTTTGCTGTAAAAAAAATTTACACTAAAAGGAATTGTAATTGTATTTTCAAGAGGAAACTTTTGGATTTCTAGTGAGGGTTATAATTTTTTAAACTGCAAAATATTATTGAAGGGAGACAGCTGGAGAGCCACAGGGTCCCTACCACTGCAATAGCAGGTGCAGCTTGACTAGCATAACTTCATTCTGTTATAAATGAGATCGTTTTTACTGTAATAAGTTCATTATATAATGTTATAATTTATACAAAGCAATGTTTTTTAGTTTGTTTTTTTTTTTTTTAAATATTATTAAATAAATTAGAAAGTACCCATGGCAGCTATATTTACTTTCGGCCCACTAGCCTCAATCTAGTTTGCAAGGGCGGACTGGCCATCTGGCAATTCTGGCAAATGCCAGAAGGGCCGGACCATTTTTTTAAAATGTAGGCCGGTATGCTATTTTTTAATATGTATGGTTTTTACATGCAGGCAGCTTTTATCTCTAGCAAGATGTGAATATTATGATGATGATGATGATGATGATGATGAAAGTATAATAACAATAAATGTTAAGCATTGGCCCAATCGGCAATGGCCGGCTGGTTTCGAGAAGGGGGCGACCCAATCAGAGGACGTAATCAAAATCTGGCAAGAATGTCCAACAAACAGTAAGTGCAACACAAGCTAATTCTCAGAGATAGACTGTAAAAAAGGAAAGGTGGTGCCAAAAAGCTCAGCAAAACAATGCTCTAAAATCATGCTGCCAAATGCATAAAATCAACTAAAATAGTCTCGAAAGGGGGCAGCGCAGTGGGTAGCACTGTCGCCTCACAGCAAGAAGGTCGATGGTTCGAGCCTTGGCTGGGTCAGTTGGTGTTTCTGTGTGGAGTTTGCATATTCGCGTGGGTTTCCTCCCAGTTTCCATCACAAGTCCAAACACGTGCTATAGGTTAATTGGGCATCCGCTGTGTAAAACATATGCTGGATAAGTTGGCGTTTCATTCCGCTGTGGCGATCCCAAAGGGACTAAGCGGAAAAAAAAATGAATGAATGAAATGATAGCATGTATAAATTTGTTATAAATGGCTTGTTTTTGTTCCAGTCACATACATTAAATGTTTAAATATCTATTACATGTGGTACTGCTTATAATATTTCACCATCTGTACACTAATAATATAAGTTGTGAATGTGCGTGTCCGTGGATGGAGCTGTGTCGGTGTGGTAATGTGGGCTGGTGTGGCTACAGTGCCAGGGCTGATTTTTAGTTCCAGTCCGCACCTGCTTGTTTGGTTTTTGGCCCTTCATAAGAAAAGATTTGGGAACCCCTAGTCTATTTGGTAAATCCACCCCTGGTTATGTTTATCGTTATGGATCTTGGAGTAAAATTAATTATTTTATAATAATTTTCATCAGAGAAAATATTGGCAACAGAACATTGCGTGAAGCATTTTTTTTCCTGCAAAGCTACAACTTAGATGCCTTTATTTTTAAATCAAATATAGCAGATCACAGCAGGTTTTAGACGGATCAGTAACTCATTTTTACCCAAACTGCTAATTCCAGCGCCCCCGTGTGGTGCATGAACATGCTGTTTCATTTATTTATTTTATCATTCAATTTTAAAATAAACTTAATGTACATATTTAAGCCTTATATTTACTAACTGAATGAAATGCACAAATGTAGACGTTCAATCAACAGGTTACACGGGTTACTGTCATTTTCAATGTCTCTGCAGGCTGGAGGGCAAGCTGTAACCTGAATAGTCTGATTTCACCAAATGTGCAACTATGAATCACGGTCTATCAAGTCAAACGTGTTATATTCACAACATTACGATATTAAAAGCATGCCTGTAATATCTACAGCCAAATAAAACACAAAAAACGGGAATTAGGTCAAAGTTCACGTTCAAAATATTCAGTTTAAAAGCTTACAGATGCCGCCCTAATTCCAAACATGAAATCACTGCATTCAAAATAACAACATTTGTGAAGACAGGCACAGTTTAAGGCTAAAAATAATGCTAGAAGCTTTAAAAAAATTATATTTTTGGAAGTGAGAGTGGTCAGAGACATGATAATTTACGCAAACTGTCCACTAGGTGGCAAGACGGAGACAAATTCATGGCTGCAGACCCCAATGGATTATGGGTAGGGGATTTGACTTGAGCTGTCTGCAACTGTGCATAGCTTGATAATAACAGTGATTTGTGGGAAGCAGCATACACTTATATCAGTGCACAATGACCATCTAAAACACAGAAAACAGGTTACATGATTGCTTTGAAAAAAAACTGAGAGGCAATTTTACATTTCCAAAACATTCTACTATAAACACATATGTATGTAATGACAATAATCAAACCCTTCAGGGGCATTTCCTTTATTCATTAGAAACACTTACGACTTGTGTGCTGTTCTTCATGAGGAACTAGAAAACCTCCACAATCATGCATTTATTCCCAATTCTAGATGTATAAATGTCAAGACATGAATCATAATTCTCAGTCAGCAAATCAGACCCATAAATCAGCATTAAGATGTCTAAAACTAGCTCTGCTAAACAAGCGAACGTGGGTGTGGAGTATTTGTTCAACTCACTGTAAAAACACATAACTAATAAATACATATTCTCTCCAAACAATCTGTCAAATCTCGAAAATATGATTTTCTTAGGCTCAATTTAAGTGTGTTCTTGTTTGGTAACTCTCATTCTCATCGCAATGGATTAAAAAGATAGTATTTTGCCAAAAAATACCTCATCATTTACTCTCCCTCATATGGTTTCTTGCATCTGTTGAACACAAAAGAAGATATTTTGAAGAATGTAGGTTGCTGCAACCAATCAACATCCACAGTTAGTAAAATAAAGTACTATGGAAGTGAATTGGTGCCAAAAACTTGCATTTTTTTAAATATCTTCCTTTGTGTTTAGTGTGTTCTTTAGTAACTTTCATTCCCATTGCAATTGATTAAAGGGATAGTATTTTGCCAAAAAATACCTCATCATTTACTCTCCCTCAAGGTGTTTCTTGCATCTGTTGAACACAAACGAAGATATTTTGTAGAATGTGGGTTGCTCCAACCCATAAACACACATAGTTAGTAAAATAAAGTACTATGGAAGTCAATGGGTGCCAGAAACCATTTTTCAAAATATCTTTTTTGTGACAAGTGAAGGGTGAGTAGATGACGGCAGAATTGCCATTTTTAAGTGAACTATCCCTTTAAATTAGTAAAAAATACAAAAATTTTATTCATAACTGCTCGTTTTACAAATCTGAAAGAAAAGCAACAGCAGATGCAGTCTTTATATATCACACAACCTTCTCTTTTTTTGTCTTCTCTCTAGGTCATAGTACTCTATTTTTACCACCTCACAGGCTGCATTTTACCTTCCCCGTCAGTCAGTAAACCAACAAACATGGCCATGATTTGACCTCAACTCCTCCACACTCCTGGACAGCATGACAAACTCTAGAAAAATCCCTGACACTAAGAAATGACATACAAATCATTCACAATATAATGAAAAAAAATCATGTAACACCATTTCAGTGAACGCAGCACATGACCCAAACACTCTGGTTATCTCCATTCATTCAGTTGCAATGCCCCCAGCGCGACGTCACATTTATTTTTAGACCACACGCATGTTTTACAGTAATGTATGAGCATAGGTTATGTGAGTATATCATTAACAGAGCGCAGATATAATGCTACTGCTCAATTAAACGGCTCGTGAACTGCTGAGTTCAACGCACACGCGCCTACGTGACAGAGTCTTGTTTACTTCTTCCTCCTCGCGCACACAATACCAGCTGCTTCCGCCAAAAAAAGCCATAACCTCAAGCTCCTTACCTCTCTTATCCAGATTCTGCGTGATTTTGGACCGGCTAGCACCCCTCATTGTCCGCGTTTTGTGTGTTAGTGCTTTATTTTGATGCTCGAGCCTTGAGGTATAAAGGAGAAGTATGTGAAAACACGAGCACACACGCCCACTGATTGACAGGCGGCGAAGCCAATCGTTGCGACGCAGAGGCACGCGGACACGCCCACCCTACGTTATAAGGAATCAGGGCAAAGTTTGTGTTGATACTGTTGCGCAGTGTTATGCAATGTTTTTGTGTGTTGTTGAGGAATGGCACCAATTAATGAATACACACGC